TCTTCTCTCTCTCTCTCTCTCTCTCTCTCTCTCTCTCTCTCTCTCTCTCTCTCTCTCTCTCCTCCGGGATGACCCCTCCCTCCCCTGGTTGGGGCACGCGGAGCTGTGCAGAAACATAGTTTTCGCGCGTCATTATTTGCCTATTGTCTGAGTGATTTAAGGGACTTTGTTTTTTTGTCTCTATCTATATGTCTCTCGCACGCACGTGCGCACCTGCACATAGGCTACACATTATAACGCTGGCACACACAGATACATGCTCGTGCACATGTTCAAAAAAATCGTCAATGTTCGAATATGAACCTGTCAGCAAAGTTTCTCTCTAGAAACAAATACAAAACATCCATATGAACAAAGAAATTAAATGTTCTGATCTATAACTCTCTACAAGCAGGCACACACACACACACACACACACACACACACACACACACAAAGCATGCTGAGACAGGACAACGGTGCTGCCCAAATAATAGAAAATTCCAAATTCCAGTGCCTGTCTGTCTTTGCCCACTCTCTTTAAAACACACAAACGCCATATTCTTGCTATAGGCACAACACACAAAAACAAGAAAAAAACAACCAAATGTGCTTCCTGCCTTCTACATAAAGAGGTTGTCATACTTTCACTCTGATGTGGAAAAGTCAAAAGAAAGCAGCAGCTCATTGGGAGGTATCAGAAACGTTTTATGAGTTTATAGGGAGACGTTTATAGGGTGAAAGAGGCTGACAGGATGGGAGCTCAGTGCATGCACACACATGCACACATGAATACCAGCCTCAGGTCTCTCCTGCTCTGCTTCAGCCTCCGCTTTACATTAGTCTGTACCGTCTGAGAAGACTATACCTTATTATACTTTAGTATTTAGATCACTAGTGGACGGACATATGAGCAGGTGACTCAGGACCAAAATGTACAGGATATTGGAGCAAATTAAGCACATGTATGTTGTCACGGGGCATGGTGAGGACTCAAACGCAGACAGTCAGCTGTAGTGAAAAAAGGTTTTAATGATCACCAAAAACAAACAGGGAATCCAGGGACAAGACAAAAGACGAGGGGGGAAATCCGGCAGGAAAAGGCAGAACAGGCAGACTGGAAACCCGGGAACAGGACGAGCAAACCGGGCGGGTAGGTAGGAAAACAAACAATGATCTGGCAGTGTGTGTGTGTGTGTGTGCGGCAGGGGTTTAAATAGTGAAGGAGGCAGAGTGAGCAGGTGAGAGTAATGAGCTGATGAGGTGAGTGTGACTGGCAGGTGCACTAAATGAACTGATTAGGAGAGTGAGGAGCTACAGAAAGAAACAAAGACACAGAACACACAGGGCAAAGCCTGATCGTGACAGTATGTAATCAGTTTCTTGAAAGGATTGTCTAAAATGAAAGAAAATAGAAAATGTGCCAAAAACTGTAAAAACAGTCTTGGCCCTTTTGAATTGTGTATTGATAACTGACACGCTATTATACAGTATGTGCACATAAAGGAGAAAGCTGGATTAAGGTTTTTAGTTCACCTCACAGTAAAGAAATATATAATACTTAATAATAATAATTAATTCATGAATTGTAATTAATTAACAAATAATTATTGGGACTACTTGCAGCAGTATTTTGTAAAAAGTGTCGTCTATTTGTGAAGGTGAGACCAAAAGCACGAGAGCTTTCCCTCTAACTAAAGAACAGAAGCATGTTTTTGTGAAGGTGCTGCGGAGAAACACTTGGTGCATTCTACAGGTGGTGAAATGTAGATTACATGTTTGAAGACAAAGATACTGTAAATGTAATGTGCAATTAGAGGTTCGTGTTTTGGTAACAGTGCTGTTTTGGTAACAGATGTAAAGTGCTTGCAGGCAGTTACCTTTTGAAGAAGAAGAAGAAGAAGAAGAAGAAGAAGAAGAAGAATATAGATTCCAGGCATATTTCCAAACGCCCTTCCTCCTGCTTAAGGTATGTTGTCTTATACGTTTGACTGGCAGCTACCCTCTTGTGTTCGTGTGTGTGTGCAAGAGTACCTGTGTGTAATATACTGGTCATAATTACAACTTTTCACTAACTCTGCCAATAATAAGCAAAAAAAGAAAAATTCAGGCATCATCACGTATAATGGAGCCCGATTTGTTTTGTCTTTAGATAAGAGAAGAAGTCTTTCCATTCTTAGAGTTGCAATAGACCGATTTGAAGAGTCTTCATATTGACCACTAGGGGGCGCCAAATATCTTTGCCGAGTGGAGGCTGGCTTTTACATATTGATAGCATTTCAAATTGGTGTTTAGCAACTAGTTCTTCACACTGTTGGTCAGAAGAAACACACCACAGACAGTCAGAAGGTTTATCAAGTTTGAGACAATGTCGTGTAAATTTTCCCATCATGTAATAAAATAAAGAAGTTGGACTTGACTCCCACAGGAAAGATAATCTCACTCATGTTGCACTACATGTGACTCTCTCTGTCTCTCTTATCCTCTTACGGCGGCTCTCATCCCGCAGAGCTGCTGGTCTGCTGGTAAAACAGTAGCCCAGTGTGACAGCGAAGCAGAGAGGCAGCAGCAGCCATGGCGAGTCCCGGGCAGAAAGTGGTGCTGATCACCGGCTGCTCCTCCGGCATCGGCCTGAGGATGGCCGTGATGCTGGCCAAGGATGAGCAGAAGCGCTATCACGGTAGGTGCACTGTGTGTGTGTGTGTGTGTGTGTGAGAGAGAGAGAGAGAGAGAGAGAGAGAGAGAGAGAGAGAGAGCATAATTTAATAAGAAAAATTGTTATATAATAAACAAATACATTGTTTAATAAAATAATACATTTCTAATAAAATGTTATAACCTATAATAAACTCTCTGTCACTATCACTCCTCTTCTTCCTCTGCACTGTTTACACATGTAAGATGCTTACATCATGAGCGCAGTGCACATAGGACATATTAGTCCACATGATTATGTAGATTAAAGCCACTGTTTCTACAGAGGAGTGATCTCCATCTGAAGCTGACTGAGAAGCTGTTTGAGGCGTTTTAAATGAAAAAAAAGAACTAAATATGAACCACGAGAGAGAAAATGAGCTCGTAGAAAGTGATTTATCTAGAAAATGAACTGGAGAATTGATAAATGGAGCAAATTGAAGGCTGTGTACCGAACCCTGAGTCCTCAGGCTTCAGTACTTCCTCTCCCCACAAGGAGGTCAGAGGTCACAGTCAACTTTCTGTGGTTCAGATGCAAAAACTAAATGATTTATGGACTTCATATAGTAGAGGCCATCATATTTAGCCTACCAAAAAGGTTTGTATCATATTGACAGCACTAGGTGTCTTATTTTTGCTTTTATTGTTGTTATCAGATACTTTTCACATCATTTTCATAGGAAAAGTTGCATCCTACATACATCAAAGTTATGTATAGCTATATGTTTTTAAATCTGCATAACCTCTGCAGCCATAGCGTGAGACTGGAAGGTTGTGGATTTTATGTTTGGTTTAGGAGAATCTACCTATAGATGCTAATAGAGTTACGGAGGTTTCTAGACTACAAACTGCAATCACTTGATCAGGTTGTGTCACTACGGTCTGGAAAACAGATTGAAAGAACATTGGAATACAGTTTGTCAAGTTTTACAACAGAGAAATTAAGACAATGCAGCATCGGACCATTTCTAAACCAAACTGAATAGGCTCTTCCCACTGCTCATCTGTTACAACCAAACCCCAAATCCTCCTCTGGCCAAATAGATTTAAGGTACAAAGTCTGATGTTTAATATAAAGATATTACACTGCTTTATATAAATTGCATTCCTTCAGTATATTATAATAACACTTCTGTGTCCTAAAATTTATTAAATAATAAGGATGTAGTCAGGAGCCATATCAGGTGAATACGGGATTCTTTTTTTCATTTTGAGATCTTTTCGGGTTTTTTTTTTTTATCTTCTTTCCTTTTTATTTTTAACTCAATTTGTCAGTTCCGGTGTGTTTTTTTCCTATTGTTCCAGGAATCTATTGGTTTCCATTCCATTTTCATACTGTATTTAACTTTATTTATGTGTTATATTATTGTTGTGAGGTAAAGACTGCAGAATTGTCTAATCAATCTGCACTTATACTGCATTACCATGCAATTATTATGTAAAACTGACACACAAAAATATCTGATTGAAAAAATCTCATTGATTTTCATGCCGGAAATTAATTTAAAAAACTTGTTACCATGCATTTAGAAATAACAAAAAACCTGTTTAAGTAGACATCATTTCATGTTAATGTTAAATTAAATTATCTGGATCAAGTAAAAGCTCCCAGCTCACTCAGCCTCCCTCCTGCTACACACAGTCATGTCCCTGATCCCAGCTTAACCTTTAGACACTCTCTGGAAACGTGTAATACCAGACAATAACCAAAGCCCCGCTGCAGCACGGCTTAGGCCACTTATGGCTCTGCTCGCTGAGCTCCATTGTGGATAACAGGCTGGGGAGGGTTATTCCTGGAGGAGGCAGGTGCATCATCACAGCAGGACGCTAATGCTGACATGTAAACTGGAGCAACGCGTCTATATTAAGGCTAATTAAGGTTATATTTTTACTACAATGACTATCTTTAGCAGTAGCTTTGCTATTACTGCGTTCAGTTGTTCGGAAAGTTAGCTCAGGAAAAAGAAAATAGCCCACGAGTGGAGTCAGGAAAGGGATGTGTGTGAACACTTTCCTTTGTGTGTGTGTGTGTGTGTGTGTGTGTGTGTGTGTGTGTACTTTACCCTCCATTCTCTCCCATCACCCCACGTCTCTGACAATATTCTCCCAGCTCTTCATGACCTTTCCTTCTCTTCTCTCCGTTCACTCCTATGACAGGAATCATGCACAACGACGAGATCACTCAGTCTGGAGATTATCTCCTAAAAACTCTCCACACATGTGCGCACACAGACAGAACATGCACTGATGCTGCACAGGAACATGTAGTATACACTGGAGTCCACTCATACACGATGTTTACCTGTGTATCTTGCGTATATCTGGCCTCGCATGCAGCCGATGAACTCGGTTTGACTCTCCAGACGGTGATACATTGTTTTTGTAACCTCACCCACCTGGGCAGGTTGACGAATCACATTCCTCTTTACAGCAGCAGCCTGAAGGCCTGGTGCTGAGGGAGCGTTACATCCATTCACAAACGCACACTTGGAAGCTGCTCATGCAAATAAAAAGAGATTAATTATACACAGGGCTATTGGCAAACAGCAATGATGAGAAATGGCATTACCAAAATCTAATTAGGATTGGAACATTTAAATCTTTGCCGTTTGAAGTCGGCGTGGAGGTGCTTCTCTTTTCATCTAAGCTGCCAACGGAAACACCACAAGTCACGGCACGGAAGTAAAACAAGTTTGTGTGTTTTATCTGAACGTTTTCTATTATCGTTCATGTTTTCACAGACATAACTTAAACAAGACTAAGAGTCCAGAGCCATGCTCTGTGAAGCTGTACTAAAGCACAGCAGTGCGTCGGTCTATGAGCTCACCGCACAATGTCAACATGCTGATGTTTAACAGGGACAATGTTGACCTTGTTCACCACCTTAGTTTAGTGTGTTTACGCAAGAAAAATATAGAGATGGAAAACACGTTTTTGCTCAATTGTTGCTTTTTTCTTTTCTTTCCACAATGTGTTTATTGGTTTTCACTTAGTGATGACAATAGTCATTTCTCATGGCGGTGTTGTAGCAGATCAAAATAAGCATGAGTACAAATCACAAGTGCACTATGCATCCATAAAAAGTAAAATAAAAATATGTATAAAAATATAATACAATATTAAATGGAAATATGTAATTAAATATAACAAGAAATAAATAAGTAGAAAAGTGAATGAATAAATAAGCAAACAAAAAAGAAAGAAAACACAAACACCATGTTTTTCTCTGTTGGTGCTGTATCACATTCAAGATTTCATTCTTATGAACAACTATACTATACGATACTTTTCTAAACCAACTGGATACAGTACCTATTGATTATTGTGCTGGACAATAAAATATGAACACCTCAGCATCCTAAAACAAATGTCATCTTAGTTTATATGAAGAGGTCTACAAATATTACTAGTAGACAATACATGTGTTTTGAACAATCTCTTCTGTCCCTCCCTTTGTTCCACCTGTTCATAGTGATAGCAACGATGCGTGACCTGAAGCGTAAAGATAAACTGGTGGAAGCAGCCGGGGACACGTACGGGAAAACTCTGTCTCTGGCTGTGCTGGACGTCTGCACCGACGAGTCCGTCAAACAGTGTATTAACGGCATCAAAGACCGACACGTGGACGTCCTCAGTGAGTGAAATGCATCCTCCTCGTGTTGCGTTTGCTATGCTGCCCCAAAGTGATGTTCAATACTTCAAATGCTTCCTCTCTGCGCCCTTCTTCTTCTCCCCGCCAGTCAACAACGCGGGTATCGGCCTCGTGGGTCCGATAGAGAGCATCCCCATTGAGGAGATGAAGAAAGTGTTCGAGACCAATTTCTTCGGGGTGATCCGCATGATCAAGGAGGTGATGCCTGACATGAAGAGGAGGAAGGGGGGACACATCATCGTGGTCAGCAGTGTGATGGGACTGCAAGGTTAGCAGACAGACGGGATAATGGAGCGTCTTTACAAAACAATGAACAAGAAGAGCGTGTCTGTTGAACTGTTCATGTGTGTCTGAGAGTGAACATTTAAACATCTGCTGTGTTTCTAAAGGTGTGGTGTTCAATGACGTGTATGCAGCCTCCAAGTTTGCCATGGAGGGCTTCTGTGAGTGTTTGGCCGTGCAGCTGTTGAAGTTTAATGTCACGTGAGTGCCACCGATGCTTCTTTTCATCATCAATAACAAACCAGTAACATAGGAACATTGAGATAGCATGTTAGCATCTGCTATTAGGCACTGAACACAAAGTAGAGCTGAGGCTGATGGAGATGTCATTAGCTTAGCATTTACAGTATAGGGGGTCATAAATTAAAAGTATCGGACACATTTTAGTTTTAGCTCGATGATTGCGCTGGATGAAGCATGAAACGCTCTTCTATAGCTATAACCTACAAAGAAATTGGGCATTTTTATTTGGTAAATTATCTTAAACTATACATCTTTTACCAACCGCTGTCTTTAAGCCCACACAGTACAGTTGCAAACCCTTAAATTCTTTGTGCCCAAATTAATTTCAAGGGCCTAATGGGGGAAAAACGTAGTCAATTTGTTTCAATTTCTCTCTCTCTTTCTCTCTCTGTCCTCAGGTTGTCAATGATCGAGCCGGGCCCGGTGCACACTGAATTTGAGGCAAAGATGATTCAGGACGTGACGCAGAAGGAGTACCCTGGAGCCGATGCTGATACGGTGCATTACTTCAAGAACGTCTATCTTCCTTCTTCTGTGGACATCTTTGAGACCCTGGGACAAACGCCTGATGACATCGCCAAAGTAGGTTCTGTGTCTAAGCCTAAGCCTCACTGTGCCACATCTGTCCGTCTCCATCTGGGATTAATCCTGTCGTTTTTATTGTTGATTTTTTGTCCATCCTTTAATTCTCTGCAGTGCACAAAGAAGGTGATTGAAGCAAGCAGCCCGCGTTTCCGTAATCTGACCAACCCTTTGTACACGCCCATCGTAGCGCTGAAATACGCTGATGAAACCGGAGGCCTGTCTGTCCATGCCTTCTACCACATGCTCTTCAACCTGGGTCCTCTAATGCACGTCAGCATGACCGCCATGAAGTACCTCACCTGTGGATGTCTAAGGAGCAGGACAGTTACACCAAACTAGAAACTTACGTCTTGTACACCAATGTGTGCAACAGACCACAATAAAGACCACTCACTACCTCGGCTTAGGATGTCAGAGGAAGAAAATGAATACATGCATACATGAACATCTTTTGTGACCGTCCACATTTCCCACTGTGGTCTGTTTTGTAATGAACAGTCTTTGTACTATATTTTCTGCAAAGAAAAATCGTAGCTTATGGATGTATAGATACCTCACAGTCCAGCGGAATGCTAATACAACAGTTTATCAAACTGTTTTAGCCTACAAAGAGTGCCAAATGAGTAGGGTTTGCACTTATGAGACAACATATAGTCTGATCTTAACCAGTCCCAAGCCACTTCACATTTCAGACTGTTTGAAACTCTAGTCTACATCTTGTTTATTAGGAGCCTATGTATTTGCCTATGTATTTGCATATATGTAAATATTTTTCAAATTCTGTCAATGTATTGAAGAAACAGTTTTGGCATTAAAATTTGTCATTTATACCTTCCAGGAGTTGTATTAGTGCTTCTGATAGTGTTTTCAGCAATTGTGGTTACATACACATCACTCATGATTGTGGTTAATTAGCTATATGTGCATAAGTTTGCTCTGTGTTTTCTGGTAGTGTCTCTGTCATTTCTCACACGTGACAAACACCCACATTTCAGCAAAAATGTCTCTGTAGCTACTTTAGACTGATGGAAAACTCTTTCTTTTTGTGAATAAATGACACTGACATATTCAGGTTTTATAACTAATAAAATATGAATATAATTGTTGCAATTTTGATTAAAGTTGTGCCATTTGTTTAAATAAGATCTACCCAAACTGTATTGTTTTGATTTCATAAGCGGATTTAACGCTTCCATCTACACACATTTAAAGATATTGAAACTTTATTTGGCATTTGCAACGTGAACACGTCATTTGCAAACATGTCAGACACATAAATGATGATAAACATGATGATAAATATCTGGTCTGTAAGGTTTCCTGTGATCATGCAGAGAAGCAAAGTTTGACTAATATTTCACTGACTCGTTAATACATTGTTATTCAATTATGTTAATAACTAGATAGACAGACAGACAGACAGATAGATAGATAGATAGATAGATAGATAGACAGACAGACAGATACTGTATTCATCCCACAAGGGGAAATTAGTTGACTATGGGTCTCATCTTCCCAAAAAGAAATAAAACAGCATAAATGAAAATGTCCACTTAGTGATGTGATTCAAAAGTGTTACTTCAAGAAAATCCATACACAATACCATTTCAGATTTATTTTTTGTTAGTATTTAGCCTTTGAGGCAGACATTGGTGACCTAATGTGGCGTTAACAAGTTTAATGGGTCAATTTGAAGGACACATATCCTCCATCATAAAAAGCAGTTTCCACATGTTTGGGATTCTAAACCATGTACGTTTTATACGTGGAAGTGATACAGGAGTGACATGAATACGAAACTACACTTTCAAGTCATTCATCGAGCAAACTGGACTGATCGAGTCGTCGGAGCTCTACTGCTCTCGCCTGTTTTGAGGCAGTCGCGGGAAATTGAAACTAAATCGATAACCGCCTGATCGAACATCAAAACAAGCTTTCCATGGACACATCATCGGCGGTGCCACTGTGAGTCTGCCCCAAATATACAGCTATAATGTTACGTGGACAAATTGTCATTTCAACGAACCGGGTGCGTTTGTGTGTGAGCAACGTTGCTGTCAACTCCGTTGATTCTGAACGTTAACGGTTAATATCTGTGTGTTTCTCTCAGCTAAGAGCGTAAAGTCTACTAAGTTCGAACGGTTAGCTTTGTAGCTAAGCTAACATGTTATTACCGGCTAACGTTCAACCTTTTGTCGTATTAGTCGCGCGCCATTTAACTTTTAGTCGTGTGTGTTTTTGGATTAAGGCCGTGTGAGCACAATGGAGAACAAAGTGGAGATATAATGCCCTGTGAGGAGCAGCTCAGGACCACACTGCACTGTGATGACAAGAAAAAGGTAACCCTACTGTACATGAAGCTGTACATATATACATATATGTTGAAACAGAGGGCCACAATCAACCTTTAAATCCACTGCTGCTGACATGTTAACATTGTGCCCACTCAGCTCCGTAGGAAGTTGGCACTGTTACAAAGGGAATACCTGAGGACAGCGGAGAGACTACAGGTGAGAGTCACTCTTTGACTTCTGTAAGCCCTGTGTAGACATTATCTGTGTCTTACACACACACACACATACACACACTTTGATCTGCTCACAGCGTGCTGAGCGTCTGGACGCAGTGCGGAGACATGTGAGGAGCAGGATCAGTCAGCAGGACCAGGACCAGAGAGACCCGAAGGTGACATCCAGCTTCTGTCTCAGCCCGTCACCAGTGATACCGAACACCACCAATGGGACGAACCCAAGCGTCGCTCCGTGCCAGGGACACACCGGACGTAAGTCTTAATCAGCTGCAAAGAACAGGTAGTAAATATGTCCCACAGTGCATAACTGCTGAGACAGTTTAATAGAAATATGTGCTGTAAAATATATTTCCCAAAGGTGTAGCTGTGAATATATGTATGTAATAAACGATCATTCAACCCTTTGTGCAATACGGATATAAGTATATAGTTGTTATTGGATGTAAACGTATGTTAATGTCAGTTTTTCCCTCCTCTGTATTATGCAGTTTTGACACATGAATAGCTTCCATGCCTGACCTAAAAAATAATCATATAATGTTGTTGATATTACACTGTAATTACTCTGAGTAGCAGATCATGTTCTGCCTGTTATAACAGTGCATGTTTCACCAGCTCCAGCAGATTGTGGTGCCTCCAGGAGGAGCCAGGTGATCCGGTTCCGGCTCCCCTCTGATGCTGCTTGCCTGGAGACCCTCGATCCCGGCCATGACGCAGCTGGAGGTCACAGACCCAGTACTGCCCTGCGCCTCCGGTCTCGACGCAGCCGCCTGCGCTGGGAAAGGAGGAGCGCCGAGGCCAGCAGGAGCACGGACGACAACAGCGAGGAACGACGGGAGCAGAGTGAAAGGATGGAGACTGCTGGAGCAGAAGGAAGTGAAGACGTAGTCAAAACAGAGGGAACGGAGGTTGCGAATGAGAGCGAGGAGCTGTTTTCTTGTAACGACTCTGAGTCTCCGTCTCTGCTGCTTACAAGCTGGAACACTTGCGGACAAACGGAAACAGGAGATGACAAGGGAAAAGAGAAACAAGGACGACAAGAACTGAGGGGAAAAGACACCGAGCTCACATGTTGGAACGCTGCTGAACACACTGAAGAAAGGGAACAAGAGGGCATCGAAAATGGAACAAGACTGGAGACAGAGGGAGGAGAGGAAGGTGAGAATAGCCGAGCGCAAAGGGATGGAAGGCTGTGTGAAGACAGCAGTAATAAAGATCCTGAAACAAAGGCAGCAGATCAAATAGAAAGTGAAATAAGTCACGTTAACACAGCTGAAATAAAAGAAGACAACAGTGAGCTGGTTGGAGGAGAGCATGATGTAAAAGGTGTTGGTCTCCTGGACTCCTGTACCTTAGTAGAAGGACTACTTTTCCCAGCAGAGTACTACATCCGAACCACTAGACGGATGACACTTTCGCAGAGCCAGCCTGACATGCAGGCCGTCATACTCTCCCAGCTGAGCATGGGACGATGTCGCAGGAGCCGGGGCAGAGGACTGAACAGGCGCGCACACGACCACGAGCGTTCAGATGAACACACTTCAGCAGGTTTGTCCTCACCGACGTCCGTCGGTCCTCGTATGGAATCGCAGTCTGCCGACACATCTGCCGAGCTGAACAGTCGGAGCTCCAGTGAGATTTCGGGTCAAATCGGCACGGATGCTCATTTTTCGCCGACGGTCGCCACTGCTCGTCCAGCAAGAGGTCGGAGGAAGAGAAGAGGGAGGGGCAGAGGGAGACCGCAGACCCCACGAGGCCCTCTTAGTTTAGACACGCATCAACAACTAGGCCTGGGACAAACCTCAGGAGATCTCCAGGTCTCCTCCTCCCCGTCTCTCCGTGGACCCGATGGACCAAAGCCCTGCATCTCTCCGGGAGAAGCTGTCCCGGTGCAGGACGACCCGCAGCCTTCCTCTGGAGTTGATGCAGCTCCGCTTAGCTCCGCCTCCGGACACATGAAGAAGGTCTTTCCCATCTTTCTGAAGAGCAACAATGGGACTAACGGATCCAGACAGATGAGTAGAAGAAGTAAGACTTGTTTTGTCCCTCTCTTGTCATTGTATACTTGTGTGTGAGATAACAGAAATAGGTAGAATAATTCTGAATAAATATATAAATAAAAGAGAGCTCTCTAACTATTCCCTCCAATTCATTTTTCTTTCACTTTCCGTCCTGCAGGTGCAGCAGGCACAGCAGGCTGGCGATCTCTCCTCTTGCCCTTCTCCCCACCCGACCCGACACCTCTGCTTCCTCTGCCGACTCGGTACCCCGGCTCGCTGTTCAACAACCTGGTGAACTTTGACATTCCGCAAGATTTCCATCTCCCCGATGACCAGTTTGCCTCCCTGAAGCTGCGCAAGCTCCGCCAAGTCGCTGTGGATTCAGGGGTTGAACGTTTCACATCGCCGTCCTACAACACGCGCAGGTGCAACCGGCGCTCCGACACTCGCCGCCGCCGCAGCAGCAGCAGTGACCCGGCGATGCCTCCTCCGCTCCCGCTCAGCCTCACGCCCACCATCTCTAATTCGCCCCGTCCCACCGAAGCAAAGCGAGCTGCTGCACAGTCCGCAGATCTGCAGAACGTGTCAATGGAATACAAGCTGATAGAGAAATTGGCAAGCCAGTGCTCGGCTGAGGAGACACCTCAACGAGTTATTACAGAAATCCCCGGAGAGCAGCAGATTGACAGCCTCCACCCGGCGTGTCAGACGCGCACCACCTCAACAGAATCGGTGTCAGCGGTTCATCGTGTCGATCAATACAAAGAACAAGCTACTGTTATTCTGAGTATGGACCACCCCGTCAACACACAGCTTCACTTCGACTTTGCAAACAGACCTGCTGGCAAAGAGAGTGATTATGTTACCGGACCCTCAGACGAACTTCAAGCAAAAGAGTCTTCTGTCATTTCATCAGAAGAGCGAACAGATTGTCCCGGTTTGGTCCACGAGGATCAGAAATCTATTATCAGGACTCTCTCCTATGATTGCCCTCTACAGGAAACCCCCGAGGAGCCTTCTAGCAGCTGCACCGCTGTACAGTTATGTAACGGCAGCGAAGCTCCGGGGGAGTCTCCTGTGAGATTTCCTGCTAAAGATTCAAAGGAATTCTCCGAACCCACCACGAGTCCTCCCACAGACGGATCGGTGGAAAATCTAAATCCCGTGCGCCACGGAGTCCCGTCCCAGCTCCTGTTGAGTCCTCCTCTGGCACCAGCACCCCCACACCTGCCCTCCTCTGTGCTCCTGTCCAGCCCCATGCTGCCATCACTAGGACTCAGCCCCCACCCTCTCCGTGCCGCCCTCCCTCTGAGCTCCTCTCCCTCTGCCCCGGCTCTCACTCTGCCTCCCCCTCACAGCCCGACCACCCGGGCCCTCTCCCCTCCAGCGGACCTCTCTCCTCGTCCGTCGACCCCTCCCGGCCGGCCGACCGCCTCCCCCGCCGGTCAGGTGACGGCTTCGTCCGAGCCGTCGCGTACAGATGATCAGTCCCACGGGGTTGATCCTCCTGACTGCCCGACACACTCCAGCGGCCGGTCGCAGGGATCAGGTGGGCAGGTGGACACAGCGGAGGAACACACACACACACTGAAGGTAAAAGGTTGTACTCAAAAAATATGATTGTGTTTGTATCTGCAGCATCTATAGAGTAAATTAACGTGTGTGTGTGTGTGTGTGTGTGTGTGTGTGTGTGTGTGTGTGTGTGTGTGTGTGTGTGTGTGTGTGTGTGTGTGTGTGTGTGTGTGTGTGTGTGTGTGTGTGTGTGTGTGTGTGTGTGTGTGTGTGTGTGTGTGTGTGTGTGTGTGTGTGTGTGTGTG